ATTATGATGACCAAATAGGTAGGGCATAAGGCCAACCCAAAAATAGGGTTCAAAGTACTTAGAACCAACTGAAGAGATCACTATTCTACAGAGCCAGCTCTGGATTTAGACTGTCTGTTCAAATCTTGAACCTACAGTTTATTTGTGTAACACTAGGCAAGTTAATCTTCATCAGTCTTGGTTTTCTCATCTGTAACATTAAGATTTTAATAACATCAATCTTTTAGGGTTGCATGTGATTAAATTAAGTATGCTTATAAGCAGTTAGCCCAGTATCTTTCACTTAGCAAATTTTAAATAAATATCAGTTGTTGTTATGATGGTTATCTTCTTAGTCTGGTTAGTTATGAAGTTTTGAACTCTACTCTTTGGCAACTGTCATCGTGTGCTTACTCTTGGTTTCTGTCCTTTGTAATTATGCCCCGTTTCTACTTTATGGCATCCTTATGGCTCTGCCTTCTGTGATCTCTGTTCAATCTCCTGCCTACAGATTGTTTCAGAATATGTGTTAGCTGTCTTAATCCAGGTATCTGCCTCTGACCCAGGCAACCATGATTTTGTAGGTAGATCAAAGGTAGAAGGTGTTTTAGAGTTTTTTCCCACAGAACAGGTTAAAGGAATGACAAACAGCATGAAGAGAATACCTCTTTTAGCTTTATATTCTTTCTTGTTCCCTTCTCTAAATTTTGATTTTTCTTGGTTTTAGTGTCTTAATATAAATTGTTCTGTTAATCAAGTGAAGACAAAACCTCAGAGGAGATTTAGACCATATTTTAAAGCTAATCACCCTACATTTACTTTGTAAGAAATAAGCCCTTTAATACCAAAGGGAAATGAATCTCTTATTCTTGAGATTTGAATTAAAATTTTTTGAGCTTTAACATTCTTAGTGAAAATCTCAAGAGTTTGGAATTCATCTGCTTTCTAGTCACAAATCTTTTCTTTATTTCTATCTGTACATTTTGTTTTTAGTTGAAATGTGAAAGCTTATAATGAGACTCCTCCGGGACAGGTAAAATATATATATTCCCTTAATAATTGCATAATGATTGGTAATTCATAACTTAGTAATTAACATTTAAAAGACTATAGGTTAGGTTACAGAATACACTAAATTACACTAAAAATACATTGTAGAATTACACTAAAGTGGTATGAGGTACTTGGAGTTTTACTTCTGGTCAAGTTGAAATTACATCTTGGATTTATCCTCTCACTTGGATATATGTACCCTCACACCTTAAACAACTACAGTCCAGACAAAGTATATAAGATAGTGGCTCTCAAGACATTGGACATCAGGCTATGAAGGACAAAAATCTCTGAAAGATGGGAGATAAGTGAGGTGAGCTCTAATGTTGCCATATCTTATTGTCTAGAGAATGCTTTCAGGCCCCAGAGCAGGTACAGGGGGTGTAGATATCGCCTCCACAGATCGCCAGAACTTAGAAGATTAAGCTTCATGTCAAGAGAAGACAAGAAGGGGGAATACTGGAGGTGAGAGAACTGTACATAGGACTCTGAAAATATGCAGAGTCCCCTTTGAGTATTCAGCTGAATACAGATTAGTGCATGCAAGTAAGGAAGCTACCAAAAGACTGGGGAAAAGACCCACCTAAAAAAGATTAGAAAAACCAGTGGCCATGGCTCACACAATACTGGGCAGAGTGCCTGTTTTCAATAGCCAGAGGGGAACACCACATAATTTCTGAGGGCCAGAGCAACTTTTAATCTAATTTAAAGTTAGCTTACCACTGAGGCAAGACCCTCTGGTCCTATCTAACAAAGTTAGTTAGTTAGTTAGTTAGTTGGTTGGTTAGTTAGTTAGTTAGTTAGTTAGTTAATTTATTTAAAGTTTGTTTCTTTATTTTGAGAGACAGAGAAAGCAGGGGAAAGGTAGAGAGAGAAGGAGAGAGAATCTCCAGCAGACTTTCCGCTGTCCACATGGAGCTCAACATGGAACTCTGTCTCATGAACTGTGAGATCATGACCTGAGCTGAAATCAATAGTCAGATGCTTAACCACTGAGCCACCCAGGTGCCCCCTGTCTAACAAAGTTTAAAAGCCAGACTCTAAAGGATCAGATTGTATCCAAGTAACCTGACCACTTTCCAGAACAAAGCTCAAGAGTATTTATAGGATTATAAAATATTCATCTCCACATAGAATAAAATTCACAATATCTTCTGCCCAATAAAAAATTACCAGGAACCTTGAAAAGTAGGAAAATGCAATCCATAATGAGGAAAATCAGTTGAAACTCAAAATGACAGAGATGATAGAATTAGTAGATAAAAACATTAAAACAGTTGTTATAGCTACACATTCAGTACATCCAAGAAGTGAGAAGAAAGGTTAATCGTGTTTGATAGAGATGTGAAAAAGGAGAAGAAACTCAAACTGAATTTACAGAGATAAAAACTAAATTGTCTGAAGTTAAAAAATATCTTAGATTACTGGTAGATACACATGTTAGAAGCAAAGATTAGTGACCTTGAAGACATAGCAAATGAAACTATCCAAAATGAAACTCAGAGAAAAGACTGAAGTAAACATGTCAATGAAATGTGGTGTAATTTGCAAGTGATTGAAGAACTTGAAAATTGGTGGGTGGGGAGGCACAGAAAACATATTTTAAAAAATATTAGTCATTTTTGTCCACATTTAATAAAACTATAAATACATAGATTCAAGATGCTCAGCAGTCTCCTGATACAAGACACATAAAAAACAAATAACAACTACTCAAAGGCATATTGTTTAAAAGCAGTGATAATGAAAATCTTAAAACAATCAGAGAAAATTAAGAAATAACAGATCAAAGACCAATACGACACTAGATTTTTTTCTTTGGAAACAATGTAACTGACAAAACAGTAAAGCAGTATCTTTAAATTATTGAGAAAATATATAGTCAACTCAACCTTAAAATTTTTTACCCAGAGAAAATAGCTCTCAAAAATGAAGGCAAGTAGAAACTTTTTCTAATACATACAAACTGGAGGAATTCATCACCAGCAGACCTGTTCTAAAAGACAAAGACAAATGTTTAAGAAAGTCCTTTTAGCTCAAGAATGATGATTTTAGATGGAAGCCTGGATCTACAAAAGGATTGAACTGTTCTGGAAATATTAATTATAGGGATAAACATGAAGACAGTTATCATTACTACTTTGAAATCTTTGAAAATGAGAATTGGCCTTATTAAAGGACATAGCAAGGAGAATTCCTCATTAAAGGAAAAATGAAAACACAATATATCAAATTTATGGAAAATTTATGAAACTAAATACCTATTTTAGACAAGAGAGTCTCATTACTCATTACCTCAGCTTCCACCTTCAGAAGCTAAAAAAGAACAAATGAAACCCAATAAACAGAAGAAATAATATAATACAGATCAGAGGGCAAATCAATGAAACAGAAAATATAAAAACAATGGAAAAATTATGTAAACAGTACTGGTTCTTTGAGGAAATCAATAAAATTGATAAATCTCTAACTGGAGAGATAAAGGGGAAAAAGAAGCAAATTCCTAGTATCAAAGAGAGATTAAATCCCCAGATTCTACAGATATGAAAAGGACAATATGGGAATATTTTGATCAACTTTATGCCTATAAATTTAACAACCTAGATGAGAGGGACACATTCCTCAAAAGACACACATTACCACATTCACTCAACAGGAAATAGATAAACTTGAATACTCTTTTAACTATTAAGGAATTTGAATGTGTAGCTAAAAACCTTCCAGATTATCAGTCATGAAGTATATTTCATGCATAAAACTCAAAATATTTGAGTGGAATTCAAATGATACAAGCCAGAGGCAAAAAATTCAAATACCGTTAGGAGATGTGGGAAAAACTAACTGCCAAAATACAATCAAACTTTGTTTTTACTGAACCATGATATGTACAGAAATGTAGCATAAACATACAAAAGCAAAGACTTTATTTTAATTGAAAATAAATTTAAAGTTAATGTATAATTGGTAATTATTATTTCCTATGTGTTTATGATTCTCTAAAGTCAGAAACATGATTCTTTTTCTTCTATCCTTAGACATTAATATTTTTTGGATTTTTAACGGCATTATGGACAACTTCAATTATTTTATTTTGGCATTGGCATTTAATTTTTTACCAGTTCATAATAGAAAATAGTTATTGACAGAAGCTGGTACTTCCAAATATGGATAGAATTCTTATATAACATGTTCTTCCTTCCTGTCTTTTTACGTGGGTGGCTCCTCATTGTTCAGTTCTCAGAATTAAAATATTCTCTTCAGAGATGCCCTCTCTCTATTATTATTTCTCATTCTTCTATTTTATTTATAATATTTATTTGTTTTTTACTAGTAGCTATACTTTGTTAAACTGATACTCATATTTAAGTCCTGTGGAGCAGGGTCTCTCTGTTTCTCTCATTGTACACCAGTGTCTAACTTAGTATCTATGCAATAGTAGGAGCTCAACAGAATTGAAGAAAGAATGAATAAAATCCACGAAGCTCTGGTCAGAAGGCAGGACTGACAGCTCACATGTACACTTTTCTTGGTCAGTGATGGTTTGAAACCCAATTATTAACTCCTATTACAAACGGCAAAAGACAACAAAGTTTTTTTAAAACAACTTTGGCGGGGGGGGGCTGTACAGGAATTTAACTTGGACACACACTTTGACCAAACTCTTGCCCTTTTAGAAATATGTTCTATGGAGACTCACTATGCACACGTTTTAGAGCAGCAATTCCTTTCCTAGGCATTTAGCCTTAAGAAGAAGTCAGATAAGTTCTTAAACACGCGTGGAGATGCATTCTCATTGTAATAATTATATGTAAAAGTGAAAAGCAGAACTTGGACATGAGCTGAAAGTACTTTCAAATTATTTAAATAAATTCTAATGTCATCAATTAGATGCTATGCTGGCATTAAAATTATAATATGTAACTGTATTTAGTCATAGTTAAAAAAAAACAAGAAAAATAAATCCCCAATATATTAAGTGAAAAATGTTTAAATAATATGTATAAAATAGCCACTCCCCTTTTTTGGTATAAAAGAAAGAGCAAACAACAGATATATGTACATGAGCATGCCCCAAAAAATTTCTAGAAGGGGATATAGAAAGTTGCTCACAGTGATTATCTCTGGCTAGTGAAATATCTAAATTCTTTTTTAGATTTGTTTATTATTATAAGAGATAAGCATTAACTTTATAATAATTTTTTAAAGTAATAAAGGTAGTTCCATTGGGGAAAAATACTTCTTAAGAAGATTCTTCTACTTCTGTTAGGAATATATTCAATGTCCCGTGGCTTTCAATCAGAAATTTCATTCAATTAAGGGGTGTTCCATATTGATGAGGAAGTAAAAATGTTTTTTAAAAAGCGACTTTTGCTTTTCTTTCAACATGTTCTAGAATATATTTATGCTTAAAACATTTTTAAAAATTTTATTTCACTGATAATTAAGTATTGTTGGTGAAATTGTAACTTTGTTATTAGGTGCAGTTGACAAACTTGATTTTATTTTAGGTTTTACTACTTAGGCATTTACTAATTTTCATGGCACTACATTTGGTGTGCATGAACATAAGATGTGGAGAAGAAGTAAGCCACCATCCCACTAGCAAATGATTTAGACTGTCACCCTCCCAAATTATGTTTTTTTCTTTAACGTTTCGAGTAAGAGCCAGATTATTGAGCTAGATCATAGTCCAGCGCGTTTATAGGTTCTCTCTTTGCACGAATCAATCCAAACAGTCTGATGGGATCATCATGAACATTTTCCTCTACTTCCTGGCTCTCAAGTGGGAAGCTGTCTACTGGAGTGGTCTTAGGAAAAATGGCATCCGCTGCACATAATGGCTTTTCTTCATCCTTGTCTGACAGATCAGTATTCTGTTTCTTGGGCTTTCTGCGCTTCCCCTCACAGCTGTGATCCACGAGAGCATAGAACATCTGTGCTTCCTCGGTCACCTAAAAAACAGGCATGTTAATTTTTCATTGTTAGCTTATTCTTTACCTTTGGTGACTTTGGGGGATTTCTAAGGTCTATGAAAAACAAGCAGCGTGTATTCTGGGCTCTGGCTACCTTGTTTTGCCAAATTTGGCAGATAGGATGCAAACAAAAAGCAATAGTCAACTCAAGACATCTGAGTAGAAAAAATGCTGAGATGTGAGTTTTGCATGTATTTTTTAAATTTCTTTCTTATACACAAAATAGACATGAACATTTTAGATAGGCTCTATGTCCATCTACCCCTGCCTTTACCATACATAGCTCTTGCCCTGTGTTGCTTTTACCAATACTCTAATTTGTTAAAATGAGAACAAGCATGATAGGAAGGAATTTAATGAATCTTAAAATGTACTGGTCATTTGGTGGTACCCACAAAAATCCCTAATTTTTCTACATCTATGAGATTCAGGAGTATAAAGTTTCCGAAGTATAAAGATAAGAGTATCCATTTATGTGACTGGCATCTGGTAGGAATTACATTTTCCATCTTTCCCCTTTGTTTCCTCCTTGCCTGCCTGTCCCAGGTTCCCTTTGAGCTCATTTTAAGTTGTCCTTGAGGTTGTTCATTTGCATCCAAGAGGGTCTGGTGATCCTCTCTGGCCTCAACTTGGGTCAATACTAGAATAAGAAGGACAGAAGACTATGGAACGTTGGGGAACCAACAGGTTGAAGGCAAAACCTTGAATTTGGTGTTGGAAAGCCTAGGCTTGAAGCCTGCTCTATAACATACTGATCATGAGACTTTGGGCAGTTTTTAAAAACCATTTGGGCCTCAATTTTCTTGCTTATAAATTGAGAGTACCTATCTCACAGTGTTAGGAATAAATAGAGATAACATATATGGAAGCTATAATCACTGTCCAAAGATAAGTTGGGGGATTATAGCTCTTAGAAGTTGTAGGCGTAAACTTTAGGACATCCATCGAACAAGCCACAAGTTTCCGTATTAAGGATTCACCTTTAAGAGGAGGCCAAAATTATATCAATCCGTGGGGCATGCAGTAAGGAAGTGACACTCAGAGTAACAGAACTTCAAATGCATTGGTAAGCATGTCCCTGTTGCACCCATTTTCAGGCTAAGAGTTAAATGTTTTATATTTGCTACCAGGCAAAAGAAATGGTTCTGTTTACAACCTCTCTGGTATCTTTGGCTTTTTATTCCTAAAACAATCATTCCCAGGAAACTGCAACAGCTGCCTCACTGGCATCCTTGTTCTAGTCTCTTCCCTTTGCCAGTTAGCCTGTGTGCTCTCTTCAAATTGTCTTCTTCAGGTGCAACTTTCATATGTTTACCATTAGGTCTCCAGAATTTTAGTCTATAAAAATATGAATTTCATATTCTAACATTCAAGTTCTTCCATGCATGTACTTTACCTTTCCATTTTGATTCCCACTACCTGCCCCCTCCCCAACTCCCATCCCCAAAGTGTATTCCAGGGAAACATGACAATTCACTGCTTTCTGCACACACCTTGTACTTCTACTTCCTTTGCCTTTGCCCAGACAGAAAAGGAGCTGTCAGTGATGTTCAAAAATAACTAGAAGGCACTCAGTGCTACAAAGGGATGAATTTCTTTTTTGTCTGTCCAGCACTTTGTTCTATGGTTTCTCTTTGATAAATTCCCCCATTTTCCTTTGGGAAACTCTTCTCCTCCGTTTGGCCTTGGAGAGGCTGTCAATTACATTGCCGTACCCCGCGCCTAGCGCGAGGCTAAGCATGTGACCCAGGCTGGAGCCAATCGGACCGCAGAATAAAAATTGGCAACAGAAGTTGGTCCAAGAATAGACATGTGATTTAAGCAGAGCCAATTATATGGCATCTTTGGGATTGATGTACAGATGTCAGAACAGAAAATGTGTTTTTTTCCTTGGGACTGGGAGGAAGAAAATCTGGATCTCCCCATGGCTTGCCCAGTCTCCATGGAAGAGTCTGTTGGTAATAGAAGAGAAGGAAGTCATTAACTGAGAGAAGCAGGGAAGAGAAATGGAGAGATCCCTCATATTCAGTCATCTCAAAAACAAAATATACCCTTACATCTCCCAGTTATATGAGGCAGTAATTTCCTTTTTATGCTAAAGTCATTTGAATTTGGTTTCTGTACTTATAACTGAAAGCATTCCAAATAATGTATTTCTGGTCAACAGTTGGTTAACTTTATCAAGTGCTGCAGAACTCAGAGAATGTGAGTCCCAAGAAAAGATCTCAGATTGTACACGAAGAGTCACTTCTGGGAGCTCCTGGGTGGCTCAGTCGGTTAAGTATCTGACTCTTGATTTCGGTTCAGGTCATGATCTCATGGTTTGTGAGTTTGAGCTGACGGTGTGAAACCTACTTGTGATTTTCTCTCTCAACTTCTCTCCTCCACTTGTGCGCGCACGCTCTCTCTCTAAGTAAGTAAATAAACTTTAAAAATTTTTAAAAATGAGTCAACTGTGACTTCCCATGTGTGGTTTCAGGTGAGTGGATGGGTGGGAATAATTTAGTCAGGAGTAAAAGAATGTGTATCTATGGACACAATAAAGGAAAGCAAGAATCAGTGTAGGGGTTAGAGAGAAACACAGGTTGAAGGCAAATTTTCTTGTTTTGTTTGTTTATTTTTCTAAATATTGGGGTGATTTACGCATATTGGTAGGCAAATAGTAATGATTCTTTAAAGAAAAAATGGAAAATGGAGACGAATTGAATAATTGAAGGTGCAAGATCTTGAAAGGAGAAATGTTCATGAGCATAAATAGGGTATTAGCTTTGGAAATGAAAGTGGATACTTCAGATGTAGGAGGGAAAGGCGACATTGGTTGGAAACTGACATGAAGAGGAGGAAGCTCACACTGTGGTCCTCGGTGCGTTTTGTGATATGAGAACTCTGTGGGCTCCTTTTTATTATTAGGTTTCCTGACGAACTCTTCCTAGTTAATGGTAAACTTGGCTATTGAAGTTACAACTTCTGAACTGTATACATCATTTTAAAGGGCAAGGACCTTCTTTAGACAATAGACACTTTATCCACAAAGCTTTCTGCATAACACTGTAGACTCCTTATGCTTTTGTAATTGACCAAAGTAACTAAGTATTATAGTAGCAAACTGGGTAATGGTTTGGATGATAATGATCATTCTAATAAAACAGAATTGAGCAAATATAAAGAAATTACGTTTAATTTGTGAAACCAAATTCGTAAGAAGGGCATAATGGAATAAAGGCTAATCTCTTTGGAATTGTCCTTAAATATATAATTTATAAAAGAGCAGACTTGTAAAGACATTTTAAACTTTGCACAATTTCCACTTGAGCAGAAACAAGAAGTGGCACAATTCATATGTACTAAATAGCAACTTTTATTAAGAATTTTCAGTTCTTTGGGCACCTGGATGGCTCTGTCAGTTGACTCTCAATTTCAGCTCAGGTCATGATCTCCTGGTTTGTGGGATCAGGCTGCGTCAAGCTCTGCACTGACAGTGCGTAGCCTGTTTGGGATTCTCTCTCTCCCTCTCTCTGCCTCTGTGCGAGCCCGACAGTGACCACAAGAAAGCGTGGTTAGGGACGCGGGGATGTGCCTGCCCACGGGGCTCCCTGCCTGGGCAAAGCATGCCTGCAAACAGGGTGCTCTGCCAGGAGGCCTGCACACAATATCTAAGGTTAATGGTCCGCTCGCAAACGAGGGAACATGCCCTCCTTAGAAGTAAGGAGGAGGCTGGAATTGTGAGCAGGCCTCTTAGTAAACATGTTGTGGTCGCTGTTGGGCTCCCACAGCCTCTCCCCTGCTCATGTGCACACACACACACTCTCTCTCTCTCCCAAAATAAAAAAAAGAACTTTCAGTTCTTTTGTAGTTAAGGTGCTGTGTATCTCTACATTTCAGATGGTGTGGTTATATTTTAACCTTCTTTGAGAGATTTTCTTTTTATTATCATGGACTTAGCAGATCATATTATAACATGCAGTTTTTCTTTTTTTTAAGTTTATTTATTTTGAGAGAGACAGAAAGCACGAGTGGGGGAGGGGCAGAGAGAAGGAGAGAGCGAGAATGTCAAGCAGGCTCCATACGATCAGCATAGAGCCTGACTCATGACTCAAACTCACAAAGAGATCATGATCTGAGCCAAAATCAGGAGTCAGGGTCTTAACCAACTGAGCCACCCAGGTGGGCCAACATGCAGTTTTTCATACCTTTTATCTAAAAACAATTTTACCATTAATTAGACATCAGATGACACATTTTGCATCAGGAGGTGTCTTCACTTGTGCCTAAACCTTACCACATCTTGGTTTCTTAAAAACTCCAAAAATTCTGATTTCCTAACTGATTTATAAAATGAAAAAGAGACGAGGTCTATCTTAATGGGAAGTTTACAGGATATGACCCGTCTTAGGGAGGAGAATATGTGCTTTCAGACAGGACTAAATTTAGATCCTCTTTGTACGTAGTGCCTGAGTGCTTCAGAACATGTTTTTTTTTATCCTTCTCAAGCCCCTGTCAATGGGAGAAATAATGCCACCTCCCTCATAAGACTCCAAGAAGATAATGCATGTAAAGAATATATGACAAAGTCTGACACATAACAACTGCATAGGAAATACTGGGCCCATGACTATTTCTAGGGAGTAGCAAGAGAGCACATAATTGAAGGGCAAGATCTTGGAGGAAAAAGAAGAACTTCTTAACTGAAATGTATAACACATCAACAGCATTAGACTAAGAATTTGTGATGCCTGAGGAGGTTGAATTGATCGTGGTACAAAACAGAAAACTATCCATTGCTTCTTGGGTTTTCATATGTTTCTGCTTACACTTATGTCCTGTCTAACCCTACACAAGCTGTGTGAAAATCTCTTGCCATTAGCCCATGGCCATAGGACTTGTATTATAGGACTCATTTGCCTTATAAAATAGAAGTATGATCTTTTATATCCAGCTAATTTATCTTTTAACTAAAGTGTGTGTGCTCTCTCCCTCCTCTTACCTCTCTTTCTCCCTACCCTCCTCTTCTCCTCCCACATCCCCATAAATTCCTGACATCCAGGTCTTGTGAGAATTAGATATACGCCAACTTTTGTATTTATCTTGGTGATGCACATAAGCTTCTCAATCTGAAAGAAAAGCTTGATTGATTAAGAAGACTCACTTTTCCTTCAATCTGTTGCCTTTGTAATGGTACACAATTCTGACTTTTTGGGTATGGTTCTGAGTACCATTTGCTTGCCTTTGAGGTTCCCTTTAGAGCTCAGGTCCCAGAACTTAACACGGATTTAGCCTTTAAAATCTCAGTCTACTTCAGGTGTGAATCAGAATGCACTGCTTTTATGTTCTTGAAACATGCAGCCGTGCTATGATCTAGGCTGAGCCTGACCCATAATCCAGAAAACAAAGCTCACCTGTGTAGGTGGGGTAGCTTCTTGCAGTTCATTTGCAGATCTCTCTGGTCGGGCTTTCATTTGTTCATAACAGTTTTCATCCACTGGTTCTGATGAGTTAGAAAGATCATGATTTACAATGGAAAAGTGAAAAATGCTGGCACCAATAAAAATGCATGACCCAAACAACACAGAGCTGTAATGTGAAACCCCCAAGAGTCATTTGGTTTGTCATTTTTGTGAAGATGCAAACAAGTAAGGAAGCACAAGCCATTTTATGCTTCAGAATGTGGAGAAGTCTTTTGCCCCATAGCATCAACAAGAAGACAAAAGAAGGTCACTTGGGATAAAGACTAGATCATATTAATTTATGCCATTGCAGGTGACAGGCTTGACTTAAACTACCATTTAGATGTTATAGAGATCCCATGTATTCCATTTAGGCATGATTCCAAATGGCACATGGCGGTGGCATGGCATAGTGCACATGCACTGATGATTCAAATTTGGCAATTCTCTCCATAAGTGAGGGAACTTCTACTTAAAGCCATTTCATTAAGTTTATTTTGATGGGGGGGGGGGAGGGACCATGAGGGAGGGAGAGAGAGAATCCCAAGCAGGCACTGCACTGTCAATGCAGAGCATGATGTGAGGCTCAAACTCAGGAGCTGTGAAATCATGACCTGAGCCAAAGTTGGATGCTTAATAGACTGAGCCACCTAGATACCCCATACCCAAAATTGTTTCCTGTTTTTGAAAAAGAATGTTTAGATTATGGCTTTTGTCTCATAAGTCAGTGACAGTTCAGCCAGGCTGTTTTGAGGGTATGGAGCTGTGAAACGCTGGTCCTAAGTACTTAGAGGTTTTGTGCAGTGGCCAACAGCCAGCAGAGCTGTGCTCATTTCATCCTATAGGGACATGCATAAGAAATTACCCATCCCTTACTTGCCCCCCAGATATGCCTATTTCAAGGGGAAAAGAGAGAGAGAGTGTGTGTGTGACTTGTAGGATGGCCTGTCACCTGGCAGAAATGTGGATTGCACCAATTTGATCCCACAGAAAGAAAGATATATTTACTAATGTAATGCAACTTAAAACCAATCATTCACACATTTCTGAAAAGCAACACAGAGAAGGGATATTTCTCAAGGAATGGTCCATGGAAAACATGCATTAGAATCACCTGGAGATTTGTCAGTTAGCAAATTACTAAACCATACTCTGGACCTAATAAATCAGAACCTGTGGGGTGGCACCTGTGCTCCCTTAGATATAGAAATTGCAGCTATGGTGGGCTTTGCACCACCAGAGTACGTAAGAATTGAAACCTCAGATATTATAGATGGGCACCACGATTCTGCAAGGTGAAATAGGAGGGCAAATTATTTTTAATAGGATAGTCCTAAAAAGAGTTTTGATTTCTCAGAGTATAGGGATTAGAAGACACTACAAAGAAGGGAAAGACAAAGATTAAATAGTATTTTGAATCCTTTCATATTCTCACATTCCTAACTTTAGGAGACTTGCATGGTGTTTTGATATACAGAGATTCAGATAGTTTAGTCCATTCCTGGAAATCTCCGTTAACCCCCAACTTTCCTATCGTGAATTAAGTGAAGGACTTGCAGGGCCAGGATGGCATTAAATACTAGCATTTGCCCTTAAGCCTTCTCTAATTGGAGCTCTGGGATCAGATCATTGTTATCTGTTTTAAGGAATTTAGTGGCCTTTTGTTTTGGAGTGGTTGGGATGTTTCGAGGAATGAGGGAAGCTGGGAATTGAAAAGTACTTGTCACCTAAGAACAAAAAATTTAACCCACTCGGTGGTAATGTAGCTCTTTTCTTTCCCCGTTTGCCCTCAATGTATCCCTAGATTCTCTACTTAACACTAGCAGTTAAAATAAGGGAATCCAGAGAGTATGTTCATTGTTCCAGAATATTCAATGTAGATTTGCTTTTGTAGACAGAGAGCAAAGCACTGGTTCCCCAAGCTGTTTTCTGTTCTAGAAATAGCTTTATTTCATAGAACTATGTGTGTCAGAATTCGTAGTAAGTCTTCCTGTATTCACATTTCTTCTAGAGTAATATGAAGAAAATCTAGAAAAACAGGATGTTGATTTACACTGAATGTTACAATACAATTTATAATATGCAACTTTGGAAATATATACTAAATAAAATGCTAAATATAATTGAATTTATGGTTGCCATTGGGATATTTAAATGTGATTGCAACCAAAACTAAGCTACCTCATGCTGTGGAATTAAGGGGAGGGATATTAATTTATAGATAAATATAATTTCTGAAAAAATAAAACTTACCTGGGACCATGTCATCTAAGTTACCATAAATTGGTGTGTCTTCAATATAATACTCATCCTCCCTATAATAATGAAAAAGAATTTATCTTATTAGAATCCACTTTATACACAGTTCTTAACTAGTTGTTCAGTTAAATTCAACATATGATTACATCTTCTTGTTTAACCTTAGCCAACCAAGGTAGATATATTTACGTGCAAGTGAATGGACGCAAGTGTACATGTATGTGTGTTCATTTCAACAGGGTGGTTTTTTTTTTTTTTTTGGACTGCTCAGGAAATAATAACAGCGAATACGTATTTAGCACTTAAGTTTGTCAAATGCTACTTGAGCTGCAAGTTCATTCGCTCATTTATTCCATTCTCAAAACAATCTGACCAGATAGGCCCTATAGCATTCCCATTTTATAGATAAGGAACTTGAGGCACAAAGAAGTCCTGTAATTTGGAAGTGAGAAGACTAGTCAGTGGCAGAGCTGTGACTAGAACCTAGGTTATCTATGGTCTTAACTGCACATTGTACTGCCTGTTTACTTCCCCAGAATATTACTCTGAATCATCCCCTAAAACTATGTTTACTAAGTAAATACTAATTGACAGTGATGCTTAAGAAATAAAAGGCCAAAGGAATATCGTAGAGTTAGGTTGGCAGATGTAGTCAAATGATTGATCACCTATTACATCCAGATGCTGTGCCAAATGTTTTATATACATTATACGAAAGTCCTCAGGAAATTCTGCAAAAATATTATTTCCCACTTTGCAGATGTGAAGTCCGAGAGTGAGCGAGATTAACATTATTTTCCTTAGCCTTATGTGTAATGCCAGCAATAAGTACCAATTCTGAAAGCTTGTCTTTATGCCAGTGATCATTGAGTCCTCAGAACAATTCTGAGATTTTTTTTTTTGTTTAAATCCTCACTGTGCATACAAGGAATTTGCAACTCCTAGAGTTAAAGTAGACAAAGACAAGGATACTAACTCTTGGTGCTAGGATTATAATGCAAGGCTGGTCCAAAAGCCCTGACTACTATTTTCTCTTGATGTTTGATTAAATTTCCTTACAGCTTCATTTCAGTAATCCTTTTAGGATTAGAGTAGACATCCTACTATTGTCACCAGTGACAATGGCCTTGGTGACCAGCTTTCACAATGGCAGGCTGGGAACAGAGGAGCACATCAGGCAGTGAGAGTGGCATTTCATAAAATAGTAGCAACTGCTTTAACTATGAGATTATATATCATCGGGAACTGCATGAAAAGGAGAAAGGACACTTACTTATCTCAAAGCATAACACCTATATCACTCCCTACGCTTCTGAAAGAAGACACAGTATATGTAAATAGTAAGTAGGTGTCCTTAAAAAAAAAAAAACTAGATCAAATGATGCCTGGATGAAATGGTTTGAAAAGTCCAGATGCTGGCGTGTTTTTCTTTTATCTGATAACAAAGGAACTCATCTGTAACCTTTCCTTCCATCAGTAATTCAGTACAGCTTAATATTGGGATATGGAGTAGGCCCTGTTCATGGTTTTTCTCTGGCTATGCAGAGAATATAATAGCAAAAGGTGAAGAATTTTTTAATAAGACAATCCATCCATTTTCCTAGCTTACAAAGATAGCAGATACAACCTGCACATGATAAATCATGTCCAAAAAATGAATATCATTTCATTCCCTATGAATGAAAATAAGATGTGATTTATAATGCAGTGCCCTATGTCTATAGGCAGGTCTCAAATGATTAATCATCTCAAATAAGCTATTACAAGGGAACAGTTGCCTAACCAACAAATTAAAAAATATATTTTTACTTAGCAATGCCAAATAGCTCCAGCCTATTGCAAATATCTAATGAACTCTAAGCACAAATACTTGGCAGTGTTTTATGTAGAAGATCAATTGCTATTAAAAATAGATTAATAAAGCCATATCCTAGAGGCTAGTGCATTGCTCTGAATATGTCCAAAATGGTCCTCTGACCAATAAGCACATTTACTGGCACTACAAAATCTAAAACAATGTTAGTTATATCTTTTACTAGGGGCCAAATTTTCTACTTTAGCATATATTTCCTGTATTCCTTATTTTTAAAGTTTTAATTTCACCATTATTTTATTGTGAAGAAGTCCTTTTAGAAAAATTGTTGAATGCTTTATTATCTAAGTAGATTAAATATGTAAATTCCATCTTTAAAAAATCATTACTTCATATGAATGACTTTGGATATAAATTCTCTGAATTTCAATGTCCTTATTTATAAAACAAGTTTATTAAACTATTCAATCACTATTGTTCTTTTCAGCTCTGAAATTCTATGATATAAATGTGGGGTTCCAACATCCAAACAAAAATGAAAGCTATTTCTATAAAACAAAATATAGCTATTTTAAGGGGTCAGAAATTTATGAGGCTGTGAAAAGAGCAAGCTTAGGGGTCTATCAGGGGTTTTGGTAAGTGTTACCTTGATTTGCTGAGTAGGTATTTCTTCAAATTGTCAAGTATATCTGTTTAGGCACCATTAGTGTATAATGTTTTTTAAAGCCATAAGAGGAGATAAAAACGACTTTATGGAATGAGTATAGATAGAGAAGAGTTTCATGAGATTAGCCCTGAACACTCTGATGTCAAAGGTTCAGTAATCAGCAAAGGAGAAGGAGCCATGTAAGGAGGAAATTCAAAGATGGGTTGGGGGGGTGGGACCCAGAGCCTAGAGAAGTGTCTCAAACCTAGAGAAGTAGGGAGCATCGAGGTATCAAATGCTACAGATGGACTGCATACAATGACACTAAGATTTGGCCATGTGGATTTCACTGGTGACCTTGACAAGAGCTAAATTGGTGGATTACTGACTGCAGAATATTGAATAGAGTAGGTTCAAGAAAGAAGAGAAGAGGAGAAGCCAGCAAATACAGACAGAACATAGATGGAACTTCCATGTTTTGCTGTAAAGGGTACAGAGCAACAGAGATGTAGCTGTGGGAAATATATCAAGAAAGCTTTTCTTTTTTTCTTTCCTTTTTTTAAATGAATGAAACAATATTCTTTACATATTTAGGGGAATAATACAAAAAGAAGAAGCAATGATACAGGGAAAAAAAAAAGGAAAGTTGCCGAAGGTATGGTTCCTGAGTATATGCTTCCTGAATTTTTGCTTTCTTTGCCAGGGACTGTGCCATGGGTGTAGCTGTCTTGAACTTAGGGTGAGGACCAAGTATAGACCCCTGGTCCTGGGGAAGAATATAAATTTCAGCATTGGCCTTGTACAGTTAGACACTAAGAAGTGAATCCAGTGGTATTCCCTTTGCGGGGTATGGTCAGTAGATTCTCAGAGCAATGATATCTAATACTAAATTTCTATTCCCTTGCTCAGTGTTCCAATTTTCTTCTAATATATCTTTTTTTTGTAGCCTATTGAACAGAAGGTGCTTGAGGCACCTGGGTGGCTCAGTCGGTTGAACATCCAACTTCAGCTCAGGTCATGATCTCACAGTTCGTAGGTTCGAGCCCTGCATTGGGCTCTGTGCTGACAGCTTGTTCAGACCCTGGAGCCTGCTTCGGATTCTGTGTCTCCTTCTTTTTCTGCCCCTCCCCTGCTTGCCCTCTGTCTCTCTCAAAAAATAAAAAATAAAAAATAAATAAACACAAGGCGCTTATATTGCCAGTGCTTTGGAACACTTGAAAAGAAGGATCTTTCACCAAGGTTCTGGGGAAAGGACAATGGAAAGATCTGCCAGCATGAAGAATTCTGAAAATATGTGGAAATACACCTAGAGCAGTGACATAGAGCTGAGTGTGATAAAAGGACAATCAAGAATACGATTTTTGGTGGGGCGCCTGGGCGACTCAGTCAGTTGAGTGTCTGACATCGGCTCAGGTCATGATCTCATGACTTGTGAGTTTGAGCCCCAAGTCAGGCTCTGTGCTGACAGTCAAGAGCCTGCATCCTGCTTCAGATTCTGTGTCTCCCTCTCTTTCTCTGCCCCTCCCCATTCATGATCTGTCTCTCTGTCTCTCTCAAAAATAAATAAAAACATTTTAAAAATAAATAAAAAAAGAATAAGATTTTTGAAACCTATCTATACTTCTCAAGGATTCTTTTTCTAAGTTTATTTATTTGGAGAGAGAGACAGCGTAAGTAGAGGAGGGGCAGAGAGAGGAAGGGAGAGAATCCCAAGCAGGCTTCCTGCTGCCAGCTCAGAGCCCAACACAGGGCTCGAACTCATGAAACTGTGAGATCAGGACCTGAGCTGAAACCAAGAGTTGGATGCTTAACTGACTGAGCTACCTAGGTGCCCCTGAAGGATTCTTAAGAAGAAATTCTTAAGAAGTGACTGGACTTCCTGCAGTCATACAGGGTTAGAGCGTGGCTTACAGTTATTTGTACATTAAAACTAATAAACAGAAGGCTGGAAAACGTGGAGCCATTTTGGCTACAAGCACAGCAGTGATCATGGTGAGGGCCTCATCTGCCCGTCTACTTGGAAGTCTCAGATGTCTGGGAAGGCTACTCAGAATTTCTCTTGTCACAAGGAGCCTCCCTCTTGAGAACGGATGAGGACAGCTAAGACCAGAAGACTGGTCCAGGGTAGTAGGTTAGTGTATTTAGTAAAGAGGGGAAGTAAATAGAGCCTGCACAGCCCCAGAAATCCAAGAAATCATTTTAAGGTAGAAGAATGGCTGAGATGAGACCTGTTTTGCCATAAAGTCATGTCTCAATGCCACCCAGGAGCAGACCATGCACAAAGCTGCTGAGAATCTGTCCTAAGTTTTTCACAACAGACTCTGAAACTAAGGAGTCATGATGAATTTAAAGTAGTCACAAACGTGAACTGATTTCCAAAATTGGAGGGTAAATATACTGTAAATGAGCAGAAATTTTCTTAACCTTAATTTTCATCTGATAAAACAGTATCTTTTTTTTTTTTAAATCAACTCTGCTTTGTATGGAAACTATTACATTATAATCTGTATGTTTCAGATGATACAGCTGAAGTTCACCAATGCTCATTTTCCTAAGACTACAAGACTAGTAATTACAAGAGTTTGATTAAAACCCAGCATTGTCTAGATCTCAAATCCATAATATCCCCCACTGTATTATACTTCTAATGCAGATCAAAGGACCAAAATTGTGTAGAATTATGTTTTAAAGGAAAAATAAAGTGGCCCAGGGGTAAACGCCAGGATGTGTATATATGACTTTCTGTTAAATATAGATGCTACATTGTTCTTGAAGTGATCACATTTTTGACCTACTAGTGCAGGAAGGGCAGGGATTTGGGGAAGTAGGAAGACAAGATCAGAGAAGCATATTTCTTTCCCCTCTAGCATGGCTTCCCACCTAAACCACTGTCAAGGAGACGTGGAGAGAGGGTGCATTGTGGGGAGCCCTAGCCTCAAGTCATCTAAGAACTGAGGAGGCATTGCTAATCTTATTTCTACCTAAGAAAGATAGCCTTTATTTCCCCTTGCTGTTTTAATGCTGAAGTTTTGATGGCTGGAGATAATTTCACATTCATTTTTTTTTTTTTCTGGATCCTCTGTACCCTTCCTGCAGAGGTGATTTTGGCCCCCAGACTACATAATCAGAAATAGACAAGCTGTGAAGTACTCTACATAAACTTGTGAATTAACATGCCAGCCACTTTTCATAGATAAAATCTGCATCACATATTCAAATTATGTCTAAATTGAGACTTGTTACAATAGATAACAGGTTATTAAATCCATGAGGGAAAGATCTACATCTTTGCATCTCTTGTCTACCACAATTCCTATTTGTTGAATTAATATCCATTGAATGTACAAATGAGCAAATGTTATAAAAGAACCAGCCTCTTTTTCACATTTACCCTATTGCCTGCTTACTTTGAGATGGGTATTTTACCAATTTTCCTTCAGACTCTCAGCATCCTAATCCAGTCTTTCGCAGAATGATCAAATCACTAGATATTCTATCACATTGCATCTTAATTGCCTCTCAAATGACAATTATCATATAAATCATCCAAGGGATTACATGGTTATATAGGATTTTCTTTGTCATGTTGTTTATTGTAACCAAATCAGCAAGTCACTCTTGATATGAGATAACTAATTGAAAATTATCACATGTTATAGAATATAATATTAAACTGTAAAAATAAAATTTTCTTCGTTGTGTGAATCTACCTGCAGCCTAGATCCTGGATCTGCCAGAGATATTTCCACATGGACAAAAATTTTTTAAAGGTCTTTTAGAGGCTAACAAAAAGCTTATAATCTTATCCTACCCAGTGAGAAAGCTCTGTGTTTGTGAAAGACCTTTTTGCCTTTCAGTCTACCATTTCAGAAAGGTCTTGAAGAGTCCTCTAGGAAATTCTCTATATTTAGATGTTTTTTTTTTATCCTAGAGGAGAAATTTCCAGTCCAATAACATATTTGGGCCAGAATATACTGTGCAAGAAAATGAAAATTCTTTACTATGATTTATACCGTAACCCTTTTTTTATAAAGAAAAATCATACAAATTCCCTGCAAATAATTCAACAGATATTAAAGAGAATAAGTTATATCTATAACCATATGTTATCTTAGGGTTGATTTATCACAGTTCCCTATTGATTGTATTGACCGACATCACAGCTCCCTATTAATTGACATTACTTTTAAAAAGAGAACACCATATGGGGCGCCCGGGTGGCTTAGTCGGTTAAGCGTCCGGCTTTCACTCAGGTCATGATCTCGCGGTTCGTGGGTTCGAGCCCCGCGTCGGGCTCGGTGCTGACTGCCAGCTCAGAGCCTGGAGCCTCTTTCAGAGTCTGTGACTCCCTCTCTCTCTGACCCTCCCCTGCTCATGCTGTCTCTCTCTCTCTCTCTCCTAGAAATAAATAAAAAACATTAAAAAAAATTTAAAAAATTTAAAAAGAGAACACCATAAAGCATCCTTATGCGTGTATGTGCATATGTATATCTTTTAAAAAATTTTTTTAACGTATATTCATTTTTGAAAGACAGAGCACGAGAGGGGGAGGGGCAGGCAGAGGAGGAGACACAGACTCCAAAGCAGGCTCCAGGCTCTGAGCTGTCAGCACAGAGCCCGATGTAGGGCTCAAACTCATGGACCGTGAGATCATGACCAGAGACAAAGTCGGACACTTAACCGACTGAGCCACCCAGGTGTCCCTGTATATCTTAAATTTTATTAGGTATTGCTAGATTTCTTTTCCACCCTGGTTTCTTAAGGGCCACTCAATTTTATATGTAATCAGACTGAATTCTTACAATCTGATTTGAATCAATCCTTTTGAAATTGACAAGAATTCCGTAGATACCAGGTTAGAGTCTCATTTCATCCCTTAACCAGCACCCTTATTGACTCAGGATAAGTAACTAGGGAAAATAATAACAGTATACCTCTTGATCTTCAGATAGGAGCAAAACTAATTAAAACTCACTTTTCATTTTATTTTTACCCAAATGTGACAACCCCAGGCCCAAACTGTAAGCAATATAGCATTTATTACTTCTTATTAGTTAGGAATCATACTACATAACTTATTTTCTACATACCTGGGAATGTAGTCTTCAGTGTGTCTGTACATTTTACCTGAAAGATATTAAAAATAGACAAGTTAAAGGAATTTTGACATACATTAGTTAAATCTTCTAGAGACTATTGTGAGAGGAGCTTAGCCTCATTGTCCTGAGTCTCAGCTAATATCTTAAATCAAGACACTTGGCCACCACCACCAGACGTAATGATCTTCTCTGATTTGGGCCAATCTTCTCTCTTGGAAATTTGAGATGGAAACACAACACAGGTTGGAAGTGATATAGAGCCTGCACGTGTGGCCATTTTATGCAGGGGAAACACCAAGTGATGAACATGGAGATCTCTACCCCTGCCTTTATGGTGGGCCAGTCCATGGTAGGTGGGGCGCACTGTCTCTTCTGCCTTCACATTCCATGAAACAGCTCTCCCTCCTGACAGATTCCCTCTCTGACCTTGGTGATCTGAATAAGCTTTTCTCCCCTACGAAAAGCAAGCAAACAAACAAACAAAACACAAAACAAATCCTAGGAAGCTTCTTTATTTATCTATTTTTGAAGTGTCTGCTAACAGTTCTTGTCATGTGAACAAGAACATAAAAATCATGTTCAGGAAGTTGCTCTGGTTGTAATTCTATCTCATGCACATGGGGCAAACTCAAGTAAGGATAGATGAGGATTCTAAGGAGAAGAGAACTGTAAAAAGTTGGGCTCACAGTCTAAAAGTAATCAAAACTGTAAAGTGGTTTTTAAAAGAAACAGTATACTGGTCTGCAGTGATAACACTGACCAGAGATCTGAGGTAGGCTCACAAAAACCATGAAAAAGTTACGTGCCTAGTTTCCAAAAGGAACCCACTGTTGGACCTTGAAGATGGTGGCTCAAAGGCAAATGAAAGGCAGTATTCTCACTTCCAGTTAAATATATATGTTCAAACTTGAAAAATATAGTTTTAAAAAATTTTTAGTGAGAAGCAATAGATTCATAATGCATTGTTGAGAGACATTAAGGGAAAATTAGAACACGGTTTTAATAATTAAGATTAAATTTATGAAGAAGTCTGTATTTTCTGTTCATCAGTAAATTTTCTTAGACTGGATATAGTTGAATTGAATGATATACCAAATACTGTGATATTTGTTATATTTTGACTGTTATTCAACCTGGCACTAAATAGCAAAATCTTGCAAAAGCTATTTCTATAAAAATGAAGCCCATCATTATCTGAGTCTCTGGCAATCACACAGAGAAATTAGTAGCCAAAGAGTGATCTTTCAGTTTTAACATATAAAAAACACCGTGCTCGTAGGGAACTGGTAAAAATATTTTCAAATGACTGAGGAAGTCACCGAACAACTAGATTATTTTTAGTTAGATTTATGTGTGACAAAGTTGAGTTATTCTCCAGAGAGGTCATTAGCTGTTAGAGAAACATTATTGGAACAAATTATTAAAGTCATCACGTTGGATGAAATGGACCTGTCATGTGTCAGTGCATTTGGAAGAATTCTGTGAAGGACCAAATGCCGGAAGTTTTGCAGAGCATGTAGACCTAGAACCTATGGGACCAAAAATGATTAATGATCCACTTGGGATGTATCTGAAAGACTCCTAGCCCACAGGCAATGCCCTACCATGACCTGCATATAAAAGATGCAGCTATTTAGACTACTTTCAGATTAGTCTTGTGAATATGAACACAGATAGATGTCGAGAGAAGGCTAAAGAAGTCTACTATTGCACGGAGCCACAGGTTAATGGAAACACAAGATTGGAAAGCTTCAGAAACAAAAATAATAACAATAAACATAAGAAAAATCAAGAACATTGAAAACTGGAAAATATGAAGTATGTGTTGAGTTCTTTTTAAATGACAGAAATGTTTATACTCATGTCATTAACTATTATTCATATTTGCCTGGAATTAAAAATGCACATACAAGAGTTTAGTCAAATGGTAGCCTAATGTAACACAGAAAAAATTCAAGGTGAGAAATCAGAAGACTGAATTTGGGTAGCAGCTCTTCAATGCATTTGCCATGAACCAACATGCAAATCACTTTAAAACTTGATTCTCAGGGTGCCTGGTGGCTCAGTCGGTTGAACATCCAACTCTTGATTTCATCTCAGGCCATGATCTCACAGTTCATGAGTTCAAGCCCTGTGTTGGGCTCTGTGCTGTGTTAGTTAGCACAGATCCTGTTTGGAATTCTCTCTCTTTCTCTCTCTCTATCCCTACCCTACTCATGCTCTGTCAATCTCTCTCTCAAAATAAATAAACTTAAAAAAAAACCTCCACTTAAAAAACAAAAAACAAAAAATTCTGATTCTCTCTATTTGTAAAGTAGAAATAATAATGCCAACAGCATGTAAGTAGATGTAGAAGATAAATGAAGAAATTTTCGTTAAAAACAGTTTAGAAAATGACAGTTGATTTTCTATATTATACATTCTAAATCCAATCAGGTAATAAGTCACAACTGTGCTGATTTGAATTGAGTCTCTTCATTAAATGGATTAGTGGAAAACAAGTTGGTGTAATTAAAAAGCTATTGTAAGGTGAAAGATTCACAAGTAAATCTTGATTTGCAGTGAAATGACCGAATCTCACTTCTGGCAAGAGGATTGTCATCAAGTGAGTGTTAAATTGAAAGAAAAAATAAAAAATAATGAATTTGAAAGCTAAAATAAAGAGTGACATTACTTAAACAGAACGAGAAAAAATAGGCATGGGGTCAAAGGTTACCCTACACAGACTAATATTTTTAAAATGTTTTTATTTTTATTTTTTTATTTTTGCAAGAGAGAGAGAGACAGACAGACAGACAGACCGACCGACCAGGGGAGGGACAGAGAGAGAGGGACAGAGGATCCAAGCTGACAGCAGAGAGCCCAGCATGGGGCTCAAACTCATGAACCCTGAGGTCATGACCTGAGCTGAAGTCAGATGCTTAACTGACTAAGCCACCCAGGAACTCCCAGACTAATATTTTTAAAAGATAATGTGGATTTTCCAATTGGAGATACTTGGAATATGAATGTTGGTACTTGGAAAGTATACTAATGTAATGTGTCAAAGGATAGCTCTATGGAAAGATGTTGTTGGATGCATTATCAGTAGAGAAAAGCAAAACTAGTTTTGAACCAAAAAGATTTGTGGGAAAAAGAAAATAGAAGCCACTGTATGAAGGATACAATATAATCATGTGATACTTACTTGGAATGAAAGGAAATTGAAACAATGTGGAGAAAAAATTGAGTAGTGGGCAAAGGACAGGATACATCAAAACCAATCATACAGAAGAAGCATCTTGAAAGGGTCCTTAAAAAGTTCAACACTACCTTCTCCACTCCTCTCAGATTAGAATTTAAATGTGTAATCTGGAGCTGGAGATCTGTACTAGAGTGCTTTTAGTTTTACAGCCCTTAGCTATAAGAAGTGTGATAGTATATGATTTCTATAAATAAGAAGGTGGTAATCAGAAGTTTAGAGGTTGGAGCTAGGGAGAAAGGTCAGCAAGCTCAGGCTCCTGAAAAGAGTCTTCTCTGGCATGAGGCTTTTAAGTTTATTTAAAAATAGGGGCACTTGGACGGCTCAGTCAGTTAAGTGACTGATTCTTGATTGTGGCTCAGCTCATGGTCTCATAGTTCATGAGTTTGAGCCCTACATCTGGCTCTGTGCTGACAGTGAGGAGCCTGCTTGGGATTTTCTCTCTATCTCTCTCTGACCCTCCCTGCCTCTCTCTCTCAAAATAAACTTTTAAAAATTTTTAAACAAAAATAATGGCATGATTTAAAAGCTGCTAATCATCTCAGTGATATTTAGTAAAATAGAAAGCAGTTTTTATGTTGCTATGAAGCAGTTAAATTTGCAAGATTCTGTGTGAGAAGAACGGGGTAAGTTTTCATAATCCTCTCTGTGATTCAGATACAGACAACTTGCGGTCAGGTTCATGGTTGAGAGGATGTAAGCAAACATTTGCTTTTATGTTTTCCCCTTTATAGTGTTTACTCTTCCATATGCAATACATAACAAGAGAAAACAGCACATGGCTTCAACTCCATAATAACATTTTTTGATACATTCTTCATGTGAAAATGTGAAAAATGTGCCATAATTTTGAAGCGTCTAGGAAATATACTGATGGGACTTAGATGTATGAGCAAACCATGAACTTATTTATCCTTCTTCTCAAAACAGAGAAGAAAGGTTGGATAAAGAATATTTTTTGGTTTTAAAGGAGGACAAAGCTAATACATTCCTAGCAGAAAAAGAAATAAATATAATCCTACCGAAGAACAAAGAATCACATAAAGCATAAGGTTTATTTTGGGGGGAAGGGATAACTCCATTACAAAGCTTCTACTGAGCACTGCTACAAAAAACATCAAGGAGAGGCTTATCATGTCTACCTGATTGAATGTGTAGATACCGTCTTGTTGCTGGGATGGAGATTTTCTTTTGTAAGCTATTTAATACACCAGCAAAACTTATTCATTGACTCTTCGCCTTACGAGGAGTCATGTCTTGCAAGTTCCTTAGCCACAAAGAATAGCACAAAGATGCAAAAATGAAAAGTTCCATGGGGACACGGATACAGGGGCACTGTGTCCGCAGACCAAGTGGCAGAAGAGCTGGCTAACATAGCTGAGTCTCCTCTGGTCTGTCCCGCTAGGAGAAACAAAGCCGGAGGAGTCTTTAGCAGGACTGGAAGGAAGTCAGTTTGCTGAACGAATCCCAGAGTCTCCTGGAACCACTGTGTGGGCAAGACCACCCTGTTTGCCCATGAGGACTAGCAACTGCATCGGTAGTGGCAGTTACTACCAGCGCCTGACAAAGAGGTCAGGAGAAGCTGGGGTGGTGGAGAGAGGGCTGCAGACAGCAAAAGGGAGGTGGGAAGCGAACAGAAGGCACTCGGGCGTCATTGAGCACTGCTGCAAAGCTAATCTGAGGCTTGGATGCTAATACAATGCAAGACCCAGGGTTATATGCTTACCTAGAAGGGCACATTTTGCTCAAATAAAGTAATTTGCAATACGCTAACAGCTAGAACTGATTCCATGAAAGCCTATGGGAAAAGCTCGGAAAGGATCCTGCGTGTGACTTAAGTGGGCCTGCTAAAACTCGGGTTATTGCATGATCTATTGTGTTAGATAATATAGAGGTGGGGCAGGAAGTGACACAGGAGCTGGAGAGGACCTAGGAATATAGAGATGGTGGGAGCAGCGAGAAGCCAGAGGAATGAACATTCGCTGAAATAACCAACACTAGAATTAAACGGGATAACACACAGTCATAGCAAGCCTTTAACAAATACCTGTGGAAGGAGGGAAGGAAGCACCCGGGCAACCAGTAGTGGTGATGTGGGCTATACGCCATGCAGGGCTGACCTCCTCAGTCCCAAGCACTGAGCTGAGTGATCTGTCTAATTCTGACAAGAGACCTATGGGCTAGATGGTGTTCTCCACATTTGTAGACAAGGACCCTGAAACTACGAGAAGTTATGTTTCTTGTACAAGAGATCTCCCAGGTAAATACTGAAAGCAGGGTTTTAACTCATGACAGATGGATTTCAATAGCCACGATGCTAAAAACAAATTGAGAGAACTGAAATTGATTTTTAAAAATATAATAATACGTGTAATTTACTGTTTTCTGTTTTTAAAAAGCTGTTATTTCCCACCATACTGCTTGTAGACAAAGTAATTTACGGCATGCCTGAGGTGGTCAGGGTTTGTATGATTGAAAATAAGATAAATCTGTTTTGGTTTTTTTTTAAAGGAAAAACCTTTCCTCTCCTCTCCTCCCCTCCCCTCTCCTTTCCTCCCCTCCCATCTCCTTTCCTCCCCTCCCCTCCCCTCCCTTCCCCTCCCCTCTCCTCTCCTCCCCTCCCCTCTCCTTTCCTCCCCTCCCATCTCCTTTCCTCCCCTCCCCTCCCCTCCCTTCCCCTCCCCTCTCCTCTCCTCCCCTCCCCTCTCCTCTTCTTCCCTCCACCCCCTCCTCCCCTCCCCACCCCTTCCCTCCCCTCTCCTTTCCTTTCCAAAATGGTAGTCTCCAGTCTTTCAGCAGTGTCAGCTAACCATTATAAGAAAACAGCTCTCAAAAGGAGTTCATATGATGGTAAATGGTATGAACATGGATAAGTAGATTCCAATGGACAAATTACCAAAACTGAGAACTGAAAAGCCCACTTGTTCCCTGGCCCCACACAGATCTCTGAACGATCATCACTGGAATCAGTGGAAGAGTGAAGTACTAGTTCACCATGTACTTGTACTTCCCCTGGCTTCCACCTGCAATTATTTCACCTCTATAGCTCTAAGTTCACCTTTTCTAACTCAAATGACAGTATTATCTGCATTCATAAAATATTTTACTGAGGAAATTAAAATACAGTCATGTTAGCTGTTGTAAAAAGAAGAGTACTACTCTTAGCTTCATTTTTTTCTATGAAGAAAGCTTTGTTCGAAAATGTTGGATGATGGGTCATTCATGCATCTGACTTATAAAATGTGTTTGAAAAAATATTTGATTAAAAAATTAATTGCCGAAATCATTGCTTGTGAAAAAGCATTGCCTGCCTGGAGCTTCAGGCATAGAAATACTATAATAGAGATCCTAAAAGAGTGTTGGATTTCTGGCCAAGGACATTTGGTGAACAGTGTAAAAGCAGAATGTACTAGTGGAAACCATGTTGGACAGAGAATTAGACGGACTGCGCCCTTATCCTTGGCTTTGCTATTGAGTAGACATGTGACCTCAGCTATGCCACTTCACTTCCTAGTGCTTCTTATCTTTTTTTGAGAGGCATGACAATAATGCTTTCTTCTTTATATTTTACATTTGTGTTAGCAACACTGAGGAAGACACTCCTAAGAGGATCAAGGACTCTCCCCAGAGTCTAACCATGGCTCTAAATTAGTTTCCTGCAGTTTTTCTGGGTCACATGTGTCTAATGTGATTTTATCAACTTTATATCTTTTCATCTGTTAAAAGGCATTGACAGTTTCTTTTCTATTCATTATTTTCACAGAAATATCCTGCTGCCCATAGAATTTTGGCTCTAGTATATTAAGACCTTTCTCAGAAATAGGTGACCTTTCATAACCATCCATCCATCCATCCATCCATCCATCCACCCACCCACCCAACACACACGTTGAATGCCAATAGTGTGCAAAGATTGTGCCAGTTGCTGTACACTACAGTATTTCAGTCATGCCCATGAGGATGAAAGCCACATGGTTAAAACTGCTGACCCACTTGTTGAAAAGAAATGCTGACCCTGGGAGTGTTAGATAATATCTGTGGGTCAGCCTGTTGCTTTTCTAGTTCTCTTCTGATCCCAATACAGTTCTCTTTCCTTTTTTTTTTTTTTAATGTTTTATTTATTTCTAGGAGAGAGAGAGAGAGACAGCGTGAGCAGGGGAGGGTCAGAGAGAGAGGGAGTCACAGACTGAAACAGGCTCCTGGCTCTGAGCTGGCAGTCAGCACAGAGCCCGACGCGGGGCTTGAACCCACGAACTGCGAGATCATGACCTGAGAGAAAGTCGGACGCTTAACCGACTAAGCCACCCAGGTGCCCCTGATCCCAATACAGTTCTAATGCCCATGACAGGCTCTGACTTAATGCTGACGGGTTTGAGTAGGCATGAGCGGAAGCTTGAAGATTTAGTCTTCACTCTTCCCATCATGTATCAGTGAGAATCTTTATGGCTACTACAGAATAAACTACAATTTCTCAACTACTGTTGAATTGGAGGAGGAAAACTACATTTTACCAGGACAATTCCTCCCTACTCTATATTGTAGGGCAGATAAAGCTGAGATTGGGAGTCTGTTCATATTCTAATATGATTGTATTTTTAAAGTAAGAGAAATTTTAGGGTGGAAAAAAGTACCAAATAGATTTTCTACAGATAAAGATATCCTATTGCATGTCATTTGATAAAATTGTCTTCTTCTTCTTCTCTAGAGTTTCCAGTGACTCTGTCTCCCTTCATGCTGGTACTATCCAGCTATTTCTCAAAATGTCTTACCTTGTCGCTGCTTTTCCACATAGTGGGAAATATTGAAGATCAGTGATACCATCAGAGCTAATCCCAAAAAGGCTAGAATTACCCAGACATAATATTGGCATTCAGAGTTTCCTGGAAAACAAACAAACAAATTTATAATATATTAGCTGCTTACCAATTTGTTTTGAATTGGGTAGACCCACAATTAAAACCATAGTATTTTTTCATAATGAACAGATCCTCTGCCAAGAAATTAATTACCATTGACCAAGACTTCTTACAGATTTCAAATGGGTATGGGTGATTAGTCCCTGCATTCAGCATGAACAAAAGGAAGCAAGTTTCCCACATTCTTTGTGTTGATGAAATGAAACATTATTAGTTTTGTTGCTAAAATTTGGCAACTGATGACTTATTATAAAAACTTTGGTTCAAAATCAAGAACATCCAAACTCAATCCAAATTGAATTGTAATTGTTTTCTTTGAGTACTTGTTGGCATTGTAGTGGATGTTGAACTGTCCTCAGTGGTCCTGTGTATTTGAATATATCTTTCATTTCCTTCCTTCCTTCCTTCCTTCCTTCCTTCCTTCCTTCCTTCCTTCCTTCCTTCCTTCCTTCCTTTAAAAAAACACTAAGGTTTGGAAGGGCCTTATTTATTCATCATGAATATAATCCCATAAATATTCATGAGAATTCTACAACACAGTAATCATTAACTACTTAAATTATACTAGTAATTCTAGATATTGAATGATACTGCCTATATTCCTAGAATTGTTTATTTAATTTGTTTAACTGTTTATGAAAAAAAGTGCATAGTAAGTGTAAACTTTAAAAATTCTAGCAATAGCAAAATATAGAATAACATGTAAGGTTCTCCACTAGAGCATAAATGGGTCACTAATATTATAGTAATTAGCCTTTAGAAAAACCAGTATGTCTGGGGGATTTTTACTACGTTACTAGGTTATCTGTAATGGCTGCATGGAATAACACAGTGTTGTTATAATGTAATGTATCTGCCCATTTCTCTAAGATGGATATTTTGATTTTTTAAAATGTCTTTCTCTTAGAAACAATAATACAACAAACTTCATTGGACAGGCATTTTGTGCATTTGTGGGCTCATCTGTAGAAAGAGGCTCCTGGGAGACAAACTATGAGACTCTTGAATGCTGAGAACAAATTGAGGGCTGGGGGGGTGGGAGAGGGGGGGGGGGGGGGGATGGGCATGGAGGAGGACACTTGTGGGGATGAACACTGAGTGTTATGTGGAAACTAATTTGACAATAAACTATTTGTAAAAAAAAAAAATAAAAATAAATAAAAATAGAAAAAAATAAAAAAAAATTTTAATGACCAAAAAAAAAAAAGAAAGAGGCTCCTGGGAATACAATTGCTGGATCAAAGGGAATTTTAAAGGCATACTTTCAAAGAGAGATTGTTCCCCACTTCCCACTGATAATAGTCCTTTTCAGGTGGTTAATGTAACTAGAATTGTGAAGAATAGGGCCAGCAAGCTATCTTACTTCCCAGATGGGTCCTTCTTTGCTATCACAACATAGAGGTATTAATTTCTGCTTTCTGTTATCAAATTAATGGTTAACTACATGAATTCTGTTACTAAAGACTTCTTTTCTTCTAGTAAAGAAGTCCAAGTGCAGTTCTAGGTTTTTCCACATTTTAAGGTAATTTGAGGGCACACATGACATTTTTTATCAAGATAGCTCACAGTTATCATTTCAGGTTATTCAGTCTGTCAAGTACATTCTAATCACTCACCCTCTACAGTCATTGTATTTGGTGACAAACAAATGAACTTTATTTGGACACAGAGTACACAGAGGCAAGACATATATATCATCCATGTTCAATATTAAAGACCATTAGTGAACTCAGAGAAGCAAAAAAAGAAGGCTAAGCATCAACCATAACCCTATTATCAAGAGACAATCACTGTGAACACCTTGGTTCATATACTTCCAATTATTTTCTCTGTATAGAAATGATTATGCACAGAGGCATAAGATTCAATTATACTGAATATACTGTTATCTCCTTTCACTCCAATAATTTATAGTGTGTTTCCTTTCCTATAGATAAAAAAATGCTCTCATTCTTTTAGCGGCCCTATATTCCTCTGAATGAATTTTCTATAATTTGTTTAAACAATCCCTTATCATTAGACATGTAAGTTGCTTGTGATTTTTAGTTATATAAGCAATGTTGTGATGAGTATCTGTAGCTAACATTAAATACCTAATCTTAATTTTTTTATTTAAGGGAAAAATTCTTTTTTTAAAGATTATTTCTGAGAAAGAGACAGGGAGAATGAGTGGGGGAGGGGCAGATAGAGAGGGCGAGAGAAAGAAAGAGAGAATGTCAAGCAGGCTCTGTGATATCAGCATGGAGCCTGATGTAGGGCTCAAACTCACAAACCATGAGATCATGACCTGAGTCAAAACCAAAAGTCAGATGCTCAACTGACTAAGCCACCCAGGTACCCCATTGATGGCCTCTTTTTTAAAACACAATATTAAGGGGTGCCTGGGTGGCTCAGTCAGTTAAGCATCTTTCTTGGGCTCAGGTCATGATCTTGTGGTTTGTGAGTTTGAGCCCCGTCGGACACTTCACTGACAGCTCAGAGCCTGGAGGCTGCTTCAGATTCTGTATCTCCCTCTCTCTGTGCCTCCCCTGCTTGTGCTCTATGTCTCTCTCTCAAAAATAAATAAATATTAAAACAAAATTTTTAAGGGGTGCCTGCATGGCTCAGTCAATTAAGCAGCCAACTTGGGCTCAGGTCATGATTTCACAATTCATGAGTTTGAGTCCTATGTTGGGCTCTGTACTGATAGTATGGAGCCTGGAGATAGCTTCAGATTCTCTGCCTCCTTCTCTCTCTGACCCCCCACCCCCCGCCCCCTGCTGCACTCTGTCTCTCTTTCTTTCAAAAAGAAATAAACACACAATATTAAGAAGTCTCTTCTCAGTCTGATCTGGCCTCCAATCCTATTAGTTCAATTGGCCCTGACTTTTATGTTTATGGCTCTTTTGGTTCATCCACAGTACATCAACCCCCATCCTGAGAGCTACTATCTTCCCACACACTGTCTCCTGTAGTCCCCTCCTTTGTGGTTTGTGGAGGAAGTTGTCCCTTTGTCTTTTCTCTGGAGCCTGTGACATGGGCGCTTCATGAGAAGGTGCCTGCTCCTATCTCTGCCCTAAGCATAGAGAACATCACACTTTTCTTCCCTTACCATGAACACCTTCCACAAAATGTTACTTTAGGTTTTGTATCTTTTAGGACTTATATACTGTACTTGCCCAATAATATACCCTGCTCCAATCATTCTGAAGCACTTATGATTCTCAATAGATACCAGACTTACAATTTCATATCTTTATGTGTCTGTATATTTGCTCCTTTGCCTGAAATGTCTTTCTTCTGCTATTTGACAAATTCATAGTCATCCTTCAAGACTACCTTTTCTTTGAAGCATTTTCTCTATGCTGCCTGTCCCCTACCAAGTGACATCTTTTACACTCCCCTACATTTCAACAAATATTGAGATAATCATTTATTTATGTGTAAAAATCTCTTCCTACTTGACTATGAACTTCCCAAAGGACAGAAAGAAGGCCATATTCATCTTGGTCTTCATACCTCAATTTCCTCATTGTACGTAATTTTGTGGGGATTAAATGAGTTAAGATATGTAATGAGATTTGTAGAAGAGTGTTCCTCACCAGTAAGACGCTCCATAAATGTTAGGTAATGCTATTCTTTTAAAAAAAACTTGAGTGTAGTTGACACATAAGGTTACATTAGTTTCACATTCACATCTCTATTCATTATATGGTCACTGCAAGTGTAGCTACCATCTGTCCCCACACAACACTATTACAATACCATTGACTGTATTGTCTACACCATACCTTTTATTCCCATGGCTTAGTCAATTCATAACTGGAAACTATTGTTATTCTTATTTTCATCTACTGCTAGTGAGACTCCTGTTATTATTTCTGTAACCTATTCAGCACAAAGTAGGTTCTCACTAAACGTATGTCAACTGACTAAATAAAAGACAAGTGGAGTGAAGATAGACAATGTAATGACTAGGGCCAACAGAAAGGTTCTGATCAAGTATTAGGTCTAGACATACTCACAATCTAGGAAAGACAAGTTGAAGATTCTAGTACATTTATCTCTAGTGCTATTGAGAAAAGACCTACCTCCCAGCAGCTAGGAAATAGATCCTTGTGAGAAGAAGAGTAACACATTAGGCCACTGTAATCTTGGGGAAAGGGCTCTGAACAACATCCTAATTCTCTCTTCCCTGAATCTACATTTACCAAAAAACCTACAGATTATTATATTTTTTTCTAAGAAACTTGATACAAGGAGTTTGGTGCTAACAGCTAGTTATCCAGTTAAATTTCTGGGATGTCCCCTATTATAAACATTAAATTTTATTTTCTTGTTTAAAAACCAGTCTGGGAAGTTTGGGTAGTGTCAGTGAAATCTCTGGGAAAAGAATTTAGAAACTACCACTAGTTGAGGTAAGCTGTATGAGCCAGGTGCAACCCTAGGAAATATATGCTGCATAAAACTGGGATGTTAATGACATAAGAGTCAGAGTGAGGAGAAATAATCTCCTCATGGAACACCCAATAACTTTCAGAAGCATAAATTGAGATATGCCTTCATTCTCCACTTTTGCCTTGAAGACCAATCAATGATTTTACGTTTACTTATTAAATTCACATTGTCCTACTATGAGAAGAGAAAAATAAAGGTTTTCTTCTATGCTGATAACATGGTTCTACCTTCATAAATTGAGAGTGGCCTCATGAAATAGTTGTTCTGTCTGGTTATTGTTAGAGAAAGAATGGACAAAGTGAAACTATTTAAATTAAAATTATTGTTTTAGGCAAATAGTTATTATTTTTTTCAGCTTAGTAGGTATATACCACAAGACTGCGTAATATAGTATAGCTTACCTAAGAACACATATCACAGATAATTTATTTTTTTAAATGTTTAGTCATTTTTGATAGAGAGAGACAGAGCACAAGTCAGGGTTGGGCAGAGAGAGAGGGAGACCTAGAATCCAAAGCAGGCTCCAG